GGGGGGGGAGGGAGGGAAATGCACGGGACTATGGTGGTGGCACAGGGGTGATTTGGTGATGGGAAACCCGCGGGGATTACAATCGAGATGGAAAAAAAAAATGTGCAAAATGATGTAAAAATAAACTTTTGTAATAATTAAGAAAAAAAAAGAATACTCCTCAGCCTTCCTCTAATTAGGCTAATGTGCTTTCAGCATCATTCTTTCATACTTGCTCTAACACTTCAGATTCTCCTAAAGAGTTTTCATTCTTTTAGCTAACTTCAGAGCACACTTACAAGTTATTACTAATTGGACTCCATGTAATCACACCTATAATTCTAGCAGCTCTTAACTTGTTAACAATAACATTTTATTACATTTCATTTCCACATATGTCATTGTAAAGAAAACAGCCTCATTCTTTCCTGATCACTTAATGAAACTTATAATCAAACGCTTAAGAACAAATACAGTTGTTTGAGTTTTAGTGTAGATCTTGGAATATATAAGCACATTCTGTGAATGTGCACCGCTTCTGTGACTCTGATGGTCATTGAAAATGCTAAACAAACAAAGGACTATTTTGACTACATCTATAAAATAAAAAGAATGTGTGGTATGAGAATGCTATCCAAGTTCAAGCTATTACATGTTCTCTGATTTATCCTATTTAGTTTGCATCACTTTGCAGGCATTCATTTGTTTCCTCCTCATATGCTTGACCCCAAAATTGGAGATCTCTAGGATTCAGTTTTCAGAACTCTCGCCTTTTTTCTCTATGTTGCTTTCAACATGGGTCCCGTTTCCTGACTTCAAACAGTGAGATGTGCACCTTGACTCCTCAATGCTTTTTTCTCATTTTTCTCAAACCTCTCTAAATTCTAGATGTACCTGTCTGCCTACCCAACCCCTCCACTTGCATGTCTGCCAACTATCTCCAACCTATGTCCACACTTTGGATCCTCTTTCTCCAAAGTGGAGGATTCTATCCTACTAGCAATTCCATCCTTCTAGTTATTCAAGTCAAAAATATTCCTGTTATTCTCGACTCCTGTCTTTCATTCAATAGATCTAATATGATAGATACTTCCAGAATGTTAAGATTCTTACCACTTCTCACCACCTTCACTGATGTTGCAGTTGGCTCTAGCCACCACCACTTTCTGTTGTGATTATTAAAATAGCCCCCTCACTGGCCTCCCTGCTTCCAGCTGGGTCCCTTCATTCTGATCTCAACACAGCTTAACCAATTTCTCTTCCAGTCATGTCTCTGCTCTATCCTTCCCAGTGACTTTCCATTTCAGTGTAAAAGCCAGAGACTTCCGGCTGGCTTACATGGCTCTGTGTGATCTATCCTTCCACATGTTGTCTTCCCTCACCTCCGACCACATAGCCCTCACTTTTCCTCAGGCCTGGAACTGCTGTTTCTGGGACAATCTGGCATGTTCCAGCTTCAGGCCTCTTCACCTGCTACCTGAAATACCCTTTCTAAATAATTATTGATGTCTCTGTCTTTCTCTACAGTCAGGCTTTTTATTCTAAAGTCATCTTTTTGGAGGCTTTCTCTAATGATTTATAATTGTAACTTCCCAGTCCCTTGTGA